GCCTGCAGCACGTACGACTGTCTCCGTGACGACCCGTTCAACCACAACTGGCCGGCTCAGCCTCAGCTGCCGGGCTTCCAGTACTCCATGGACCAACAGTGCCGCTTCGACTTTGGACCAGGATACAGTCTCTGTACCGCAGTACGTCCATCTGTCTGTGCTAAATATTAACTTTATAAAATGATGTGAAAACAGAGAAAAGAGAGAAACAATATAAAACCCACATAAACACCAGGTACAGGAAAAATACTTAATCTTTCCAATAACTTTCATTTAGAAGGTTTTTAACTTAATTTTGATTGAACAGTGTGACAGTCGGGTCCAACACTGAAAACGTCGTCCTGATATTGTGCAGGTCTCTTTAAATCAGCTCTGAGCCGTGGCTGTGGGGGTTTGGGGGGTTTGGGGGGTTTGGGGGGTTTGGGTCGTGGGGAACAGACTTGTTCTGATACAGTGCTCGATCCGGCTGGGATCTGCACTCTTTCACGTTTTCCACACGTTGTGGGACATGTTCTACCTCGGTCCCATGTGAGAACCCGCCCACGCTTCAGCAGGTTTCATAACCGACTGTTTTCATTTTTTACCACGAGCATCAGCGTGGAGGAAGGCGGGGTTTGTACTGGAGCTGACGCTGGGTCCCACTGCTCTGCTGGCCGAGGCTGCTGCCATCAGCAGTTACTGTGGGGATTGCAGCAGTGTTCAGCTGGGTGGTACTTACAGATGGAAGCCAGGACCCAAAGGCTCCAGCTGAACATTAGACCTCAGGAGATGATTGATGGCTGTTGTTGTCAGGAGGAAGCTCCTCATCAGAAAGTTGTTTCTGAAGCAGAAAAAACAAAGTTGTCAGTGTACGTGCAGAGAAAACTGTTTAACAGTTGTTAATGAAAGAGTTTACTCCTCACGAGCCAAAAGAGAAACTGAGGCCGGCTTTGATGAAGTGATTTAAACGTTTGTGTTCTGAGAGGAAAACAAACCGGAGCAGCCAGAGGAAACAGGGGCTGGAGGAAAATCTGTTTTAAATCCTGAGAGGAAATGTGATCCAGCAGGAAAACAATCAGAGCTGAGCTGAAGGAAGCTGCTTCACTGCAGCGTCCTGATGGAAATCTCGAGTCTTCAGCTGATCCGACGGCTTCTTTTAAACACTCCCCAGAGCGGTTTCCACGGTAACGTCACCTCCTAGCTAACATCCTCAGCAGATGTTGCTGCTGGCGTCAGCTCACATCTGGACATCTCATAGAAAACTTTACAGTCCTGCTTCATTGAAGGCTTCCCCCGAGCTGATGTTTACCTGCTGGTTGTTTCTTCACGCCGCCGCGTTCGCCACGTTTCCTGTTCTGAGAAATCTCAGCAGGGTGCCAACACGAGGGTTTATCTTTCCCTCGCCATCACGCGCTGTCTGAGAATGTGTCCGTTTCCTCTCTTTATCACGGTAATAACCTCCACACATGACATATCTGGTTCTGTGGTGCAGGCGATAAACAGGAAGTACCCCAAACAAACCGCCATTGTCTGACCACAAGTTTATTTTATTCACTTTTATCTTTTTTTAAACTGTCTGCTTTCATAAACAGGAAGTCTGGGCCCAGGCGCTTCCTGTGGAAGCTCTGAGATACTGGCGCTCATCCTCAGAGTAGCTGATAGCCAATGGATTCCCAGATGGTCATGTGACCTGATGTTCAGGAAATCAGATTGAATGTGTTCTGATGTGGAACAGACAGATGTGTTTCTGAAGGCTGAAGCAGTGATGACGTTCATGCTTCCTCTGACATCAGCAGCCAATGACCTTCTTATCATGTGTCTGCAGTACACGAACACTGACCCCTGCAAACAGCTGTGGTGCAGCGACTACAACAACCCGTTCTACTGTAAGACCAAGAAAGGCCCGCCCCTCGA